GCAGTTACACCTTTAAGATGCTACACTCAAAATCCTTCCCAAGCTGAAGTTTGATATATGGGGGTCCCATCCTGAACTTAATGCCAAAGTACATCTGACTTGTCCGTCTTATGCTAGATCTCCCTTGGGGATGTGGAGTTTTCAGACCCAAACCGCAGCTTCCCTGCTCCAAGAAACCATTATGCAGCTGGTAAAAAAAAAACCCTCCCAAACCTCAAATTTCTGCCAAAGCGAGCGCCGGCGCTGTACCTCTTCAGCAGACCACTTCCCAGTGCAGCTGAACAGCAAAAGGCATCTTCTCTCCAGGAACTCTCTCCTTTTTATCCACTCTCAGATTTCACAGTGAACCTGTGCTAAAACAAGAGGGTTACAGCACACCGAGACACCCGGATGCGTATAGTGTTACTATACCCAGGTATCAGAACATGCACCATTGCTCTACCAGCTCTTCAGTAGAGACAGATGAAAGTTCAGAGTTATTAATATAAAAAGTTTTATTGCTTTTAGCTAAGAAAGGGTTTACTTGCACGCAAACAGGAGTGGAGCAAATGCTACAGTTCTAGAGATCCAGACTGGTCTCTCAGGGAGTTGCCTGTTCTTACCCCATTTTCTCATGAAGCATCCTGTAGCAGCATCACAACTCGCATACGTATTTTTATTGTTGAAAATACAGCCACCGTACCTTGTGATGATAATCGTGGGGTTAACACGCTGTCCATTATAACCTTCTCTCTAAAAAACTGAAGATCCTGAACTCTTTGCTTCAGTACAAAAAACCCAATCAATCAGGCCCATAGTGATGACACAGGGCCAAGGACAAAGATATTAGTCTATAAGCTGACATCTAGACCAGCAGGGTCATTGGCCAGGTAGAGGCACATCTGAAGCTAGGCTGGAGACCAGCACCCCTGCACCAAAACTCAGGCATAAAGGCCCTGAGAAGGGCTTAAATATCCTCCAGGACCCATGGATGTGGGTGGAAGCCCTCAGGTGAGGCTGGTCAGGGCTATTAAGACCAATTAGTGCCCTCAAAGCCCTGTCAGGTGTCAATGTTAATGATGCTGTTGCTAGCACCTGTGGGTGCTAGCAACTTTGGGAGTTTTAGTAAAGAAAAGATATTAGGATTTTTCCCAAGAAAATGAGGTTCGGGAGGTCCACCTGCTGCTGGTCCATCTGTCTGCCAGCCCCACTGTGTAGCTATTAGACCTCTTGGTCTGGAGTGGACAGGACAGCAGAAGTCACCAAGACAGTCAGCTCGTGCATGTCTTGTGAAAATCAGGGGCTGACAGAGGGAAGGGGTGTCAACAGCCTCCTCCAAGCGAGGCTGCAGCGTGAGCCGAGCCGCTCTCTGTCCTGCTTGCCCCAGTCCGGGCCAGCCGGCACAAGGCTGCTGCAGAGCCCGCAGGAGTGGACTGTCACCCATGTTTCAAAAATAAATGTGGTCTCTTTTCCATAATTACCCTCGGGGCAGATTTATGAGCCTCGTTCCCCATTCAGAGCATTAGCATCCTCTTCTTTTCTGTTGTTTCGTGTTGAGACCGGTGGCAGTCCCCCCACTGGAGGACTCTTAAGGGACACCGCCGTGCTGGGGAGGAACAGCCTTTCGCTGAGCTCCGGCTGTGGGATTTCCACCTCAGCTCTGCCTTCTCCAGTGTGAGTAAACCCACAGTGACCTTCAAGACAAGGAAGGCACAAGGGTGGTGTTGCATGTCCCGGGATTAGCTTGTCTAACCTACTCACCCTCGCCATTGCTAGTTGACAGTAGGTGATAACCCATGAAGTGGCTTTGGGGGAAATTCTGTGGGCCAACTTGGACAATTAGGGGAGAAAAATCCAAAAAGGATGTACAAAAAGGGTAGAGGCACTTTGACTGCTCCCTCCCACAGCAACCCACAGATGCCCTTTCCCTTGACCTGAGGCAAAAAACCATTTTCAGCTATTTCCACATATCAGAAATTCTGGTTTTATTTGCTGTGCTGCTGTACGCAGTGAAACGTGGGCAGCTTGGGTGGAGAAGGTCTAGGCGGAACGATTTTAACACAGAATGTCCTGTGCCTTGAACCACTTGCCTGGCAGATTTTCTGCAGCCTGAACTACTCACTCCTTTGGAGCCAACTGCCCAGAGAGCTTCAGACCTTTCAAAACTCCATTTTGTTTTTGACAGATTTGGGTTTTGTAGAGGAAGAAAGAGAAAATCTCTAACTTTGCCTCAGGTCACAGAGAACCCCGTCAGATATGTCTTTTTGCAGGAAGGGGTGTCCGAAAAGGTGCCCAAAGCTGTGCACGTCACCCTGAGGCTCCTTTTCTATTGCTCCTTGCTACATATTGGCTGTTAACATGGCACCTACAGCTCATACATCTTTTACTAGTGGGAGCTTTGCAGTGCTCCCAGGGACAGCAAGTGCCTCCCAGGGCAATAAGACCTCAGCATGTTGCATGGTAGAAAACAATCTTGGAGGCAAAGAGGTGAACAGGCAGGTTGCCCGCTGCCGGGGAGGTGGGGAGCCTACTGCAGCTGCTCGCCACAGCTCCTCTCCTCCAGGGATGTCTTTGCTTCTTCTTAACAGCAAGTCACCCCAGTCTGAGCACCAAGCTCAACTGTGTGCTTTAATATAGCACATCAACACATCTTCCCCTTGCAAAGGGAGAGATATGTGGCTAAAATATCCAGGCTCCTTTTCCGGGATTTTTCGAACAACTCTATGTAGTTGGACTTCCAGGTCCTTCGGGTCAAGGTACACCTCTGTGGGGAGCAGTGCTCAGAGCTCCTGTTTCTAATATCGTTGTTTTCCCCCCCCCATTCTCCTGTGACGTTGCTTGCTCGTACCGCTCGGCTTCGGGTGGCAGGAAGAGGACGGTCATAAGGGAACCGTCCGGCACCGGCTTGCCCCGCAGGTACTCAGCCTATTTTTGCAGCCCAGTTTCCTTGCAGTTGTTTGCTGAGGGGCTCACGTGGGAGGGGAGGGTTGTATTGGCAAGGTTTGCTAGGCGGGAGGTGGGAGCCGCAGGCTGTGACATGAGGGCCCTGCAACTTGGGAGCACCCAGGAGGACTTCCTGGGTGGAAAGGACTTTGCAGAGGGACTGAGCCCGGGTTGCTCGGAGGTGAGGTTGTTAAACACAAAACGCCATCTGCAGCAAGGAGGAGCAGTGACTTTCCGCTGCCTCTGTTAACAGCTTCCCCCCATAAATGGTGCAATCACCAGGCACAGTCCAGGCCATGCTGCAGTCCCAGCTTGGGCCTGGGGACAACGGGGTCCTGCTCCAAGCAAGCTCCTCTGACTGCAGTGAGCGGATGCCCCGGTGAAGCTGTGCCTGGTTTTATGCTGACGTTGCTCCTGTGTCAGCGGGGCTTTGAGGTCTCTCCTTGCCAGTCATTCCCCATGCGCTCTGCTGCAGAAGGATGCCAGAGGATATGAACCCAACATAAGAGAAAACGCTGAGAACCACTGTAAACCGAGGCTGTTGGGTCCCCCATCCCCCTCATGCTGCACCTCCTTGAACCTCTGGCATCAGCCTCACCCTCTGCCTGCTGATGGCGTCTAGCAGTTTCAAGGCAAATGACAAGGCAAAAAGGGGTTGGTGTTGTGGGCTGTTTTCCTGATTTGTGCCACTTTGTGCTGCATTAGTGTTGAGAGGGTTTATTTTCCACCTGTTTTTTTTCTGAGAGGCAGCAGGAGTGTCGGGCTTCCCTTGCACAGGGGTGTCAGTGGAGAACCTGTTGAGGGTCTCGGAAGAGTGAATTGTCATTTGCATCAGGATTTGGGGCTTTTTAAGAGCGAGAAGTAAATGTATCTAAGCAGAGAGAGCCATTACTGATCTGAAGGAAACTTGACTCCATCTGTCATTGAGAGGCTTGTTACGACCCTCCTAGTTTCCGCAGCCAGGTTTTCTGAAGGTAAAATCAACCAAACCCAAAATGAAATGAAAACTTCGCAGCCTCCCAAAAATACCATTCAGGCCACCAGGGCCGAATCCATTTCCTTTTCACAGCTTGGTGCAAAGGTTCTGCCGGGCTCTGGAGAACAGCAGGAAGATCTGCTGCCATTGAGTTAAGCAGCCTGAGCCTGCTTCGAATGTGTGTTGATGATCAGGGCTTCAGGGATCATCAGAGGGTCACTGGAGTCATCACAGCAGGATCATCAGGGATCCTGCTCTGGTGCGGATGGGGCTGAAGTGAAGCAGAGATGTGACAAGTAGGTCACCGAAATATTTACAGCACTCTTAATTTTCCTAAAACTGATTTTCCCCTCCAAGCCACCATGTCACAGTCCCAGAGCCCTCAGCCATTTGCCCCTTGGGCTGAGTCCCACAGTGCAGCCATGTTGGTGGCAAGTTCCCATCCTCTTGGCGCTGCTCAGGGCCACAGCCCTTGTCTTATGGTCCATGTTTTACAGCTATATTATGTAGGCACCAGAAGGGATTCTGTCCCCTTCCTGCAAGATAATGGCACAGCACCTTTCCATGGGCACACCAAGCGGCTGCTTCAGCCCTGGTGCCCTCTTCCCCCAGGAATATTCTTCCCCCAGAGACATTTCCTACTGCACTGCCAGGGCCCAGCTTGTCTTCACTGTCTGTCTTTGCTCCACCTGGATGAGTGTCCGCACCTGGACATGGAGAAGGTTGGGAGGACACCAGAGGGAGTTGGAAGGAAGGATCACACGCATGGTTCATCCTTGGTGCACACAGGTTTTTGTGTACTGGGAGCTCAGCATCTTGGTGACATCAGTCCTCAGCGAGGTCACCCAGCTGGTGCTCCAGATCTGGCCCCAGCCAGGGGCTCTGACATACTCAGGTCCGACCAGAGCAAAGCCGGGGTCTGAGGCCCTTCCAGGGAGGAGAATTTATTGCTTCTGTACTTGTGCCACCTGCAGGCCAAAAGAAGACCTGTTTGATCTCCATTCACAGTGCAGTTCACAGCTGCCTGGACCGTTTCCCTGAGCAGCTGGACACTCCTAACCTTCATCTTCTGTGGTTTTGCGTGCTAGTTCCCAGCCCTGAGATGTCCTGGAAGGAGGAGTGTATGAATCCACCCCCATGTTTTATCCAGCGGCTGGACCACCTTGTGTTGACTGTGAAGAGCATCAAGGACACGGTGGCCTTTTATTCCAAAGTCCTGGGCATGGAGGTGGTGACTTTCAAGGTAACACGGGGGGACAGGCTCATCTTGGGTCTAGGGAAGCTGGAACTGCAGTTCTGGGCCAGTGGCTGGTCCTTGTGTATCTCTGATAGGGTCTCTGGGGCATCTCCTTGGAGTGGGGATGGTAGGACCAGCACAAGCTGCAGGCCATCAAGCTCTGAGTTTCAACAGAGTCAAGCTGAGTCAGAGGGAAGTCCAAACCATACTGCAGAAGGAGTCAAAGTGAAAAAAAAAAAAAAGAAAAGTTCTTTGAAAAATGGTTTCTAGGACTGAAGGAGGAGAACCCTCAAACCCACACATCCTCTAAAGATGTCTGACATCTGTCTTGTTTTGATATTTCCATTGGCAAGGAGAGAAAAACATTTTCAGAACAGCCCAAACTCATCTCCTGCCCAAGCTTCAGGCCACTTGCCCTGTTTTGGATGTACACATGGCAACTTTTTAACTTCCAAGCTTATGTCCTTCTCTCCTGCCCCGTGAGGTCTCTTAAAAGCAGTTGCACTCCCATCCCAAGGCTACAGTGAGCCTCAATTTGTTCTTCAGGCGGGCACAGATGGCAGGTCAGTGTCCTGCATATCCATGGGGTCTCAGGACTCAGCTGCCATATGAGCCTGCAGAAATCTCCTTGAGAGTCTGCAAAGAAAAAAGATGCCAAAACCTCCCTCCTCACCCTCTTCCCATTGCCTCGTCTTTGTTCCCACTACAGTGTCAGCCTGTGCGTTATTTGTGTGGCTGCCCCACAGGCAGGATGGAGAGTGCCCAAAACTAAAAACGTACAACATTATGGTTTGGAAGTAGCTGCATGTGGCTGTAGGACTTTCTTGGGTCACTCCACATTTCCAGGGATGTCATGGGAGCCTTGCAGTGGCCAGTTCTTGTCTTGGGTTGCCACAGCAAGAGCCCAGAGTTAGCAGGACTACAGCCAGGTCCCCAGGACTTTTAGGACTACACAGGTGAGTGTATGCTGAAGGCTTCCAGCCCAGTAAATCTCATTGCACTTTGATTCTTTTCTCTGGGGACAGGGAAATCGCAAAGCTTTACGTTTTGGCAACCAGAAGTTTAACCTACATGAGGCTGGGAAGGAGTTCGAACCCAAGGCTCGGTGCCCAGTCCCTGGCTCTGCAGATATCTGCCTTATCACACAAGTGCCCCTGGACCAGCTGCTGGATCATCTGAAGGTGAGGAAGGTGTAGAGTGTGCACAGGGCAGTGTGACCCCAGGAGACATGAAGCCAGAGCCTCCCAAGTGACACTTCCAGGGTCTGTGTCTTGGGGAATGTCAGAATTGTCTCATCCAACAGCTCATGTTTTCAAGGCTCGGGGCGGGGGGTGGTGGGGTGGTGATGAAGAGTGCACAATGCCCTGGTAAGACTATCTTAAGCATTAAAACCCTGCCCTTAGGTGTCTTTCCAGGCCTGTGGGGTGATCATTGAAGAAGGTCCCGTGGCCAGAACTGCTGCCATGGGTCCAATAACATCCGTCTACTTCCGAGACCCTGATGAGAACCTGATTGAGGTTTCCAGGTACAGCACAGATGTGATTGCAGTCAGTGGAGGGGAACCCTAACCACAACCCACACTCTGTCTGTGTCCCAGCAGGAGAAAAGATGCAGAGGCCAGGCTTTTGATGGCCAGTTTCAGGTTCAAGCAAACCTTGGACATTCAAGCAAACCATGAACCATTTTGCAAACCTAGGACAAGTCTCAAATCCCAGCCATAAAAGTAGGGCTGCATGACCCTTGAGAGCTTTCCCAAGGCAGCCTGCTCAGCTCTCACCCCCGGGTGTGAATCCTACTTTTATAAATCATCATCAATGGAGACTTCATGACCTTCTTGGAAGATCTGTCCTCCTGCTGCTGCACTACTCTTGTTGGGACGTTTTTCCTGATGCCTGACAGACCTTTTGCTGCAGTTGGAGCCACTCATTTCTACACTATCCTCCATCAACACAAAGAACCTGTCATTCTTCTCCTCTTAATCGTCACTTTTACACAGCTGAAGATTTCTGTCTCCCTTCTTCTCTGTCTGCCTACTTGGCTTGGCTCAGGCTGGCTGGCACTGGTGGCTCTCACACCAAGCCAGTGGTTTAAATCCAGCTGTGACTATTGAAACCCACTTCCTGCCTGGGAACCGGGAACGTGGCCTCAGCGTCTGACACACAAAGCGCTCCTGAGGCTGAAGCTCTGTGCCTCGTACTCAGCTCTCCATAAATAGTTACAGGGTTCCTGTCACCCGGGATGGGAAAGTGCAGAGATGAGGTGGCTGCATGGAGGGGAGAGTGTACAAAGTCAGTGAGTTCCCCTAGATTTATGCAGGGATGAGGGGGAAATAAGGTGCTAAGAAGATGCTGGCATCAGGCAGAAAACATTGGCCTCCCCTTGCAGCCCAGCCTGGTTGCCCTTTTTTCCCAGTGAGGCAGCAACAGGGCTTTGCTCTGGCCCTTGCACCAGCCGCATGTGTCTGGCCTGCACATCTCAGCTGCCAAGGGAAGGATGCAACCTTGCACTGCACCTGGGAGGGATTTGCTCCTCCTTTCCATCCCCGTGCGGGACACATTCTTGTGGGCTGTTGGTCTCAGTCATTCATTTTCAGAACAGCAGCCTCCTTGCAAAACTTGACCCCCCACGGCAACATGTCCAGAGCTTGGGAGAGCCTCTGGACCAGGGAGAGGAAGGCCAACACTCTTGCCTTCCTCTGTCCAGAAGAGGCATCCAGAGTCGCTCCCGGAGCTCTGGCGTGGAGCTGCCTGCATGGCATGGAGGGAGGCACGGCTCATCCCTGTGAGGAGGAAGGTATGTCAGCAGAGCTGGGGCAGGGGTCTGCCACAGCAGAGTCCTCTCTGACTCTGACTGATGGCACTCGATTGCTTGTGGGACTGTCCTAAGTTTTCTTCTTTCTTTAATTATTTAAAAAGCAATTCTTCAGTTATTTAGAAAGCATAAAACAATAAAGAAGGACTCGGGGTTTTTCAGGGACAGCAGTTCCCCGGCTGGCCACACTGCGGTAGCAATGCTATCATCACGGAACTAGGGCTGGAAGGCAGAGAGGACTCTTCTGACCTCTACAGTCAAAATCCTCTCTAAAATTGAAACAATCCGTGAATTGTACTAATTTTTTTCTGCTGGCATTTCGTGGGAGATGCAAAATCCTCCATGGTGCGAAAAAAATGCAAAGCCCTAAAAAAATTCAGCGCTTCAGATTACCGAAAGCTTGCGCCGGTTGGCGGCCGCAGGGACGAAAGCTGCTTTGGGCG